TATCAAGGGTTCACCCTGTCTCCCTTTCCTCCTCCCACAGCCCCTCAGCCTCTTGCTCCTTTTTAGGTCCAATCACTTGTTTTCAACGCCTTCTTCCCCAACCTCTCCCATGCTAATGCTGCTCATGGCTCAGGGATGGTCTGTATTCAGAGCACACCTTCTTCCATCAACACCAGCCTCCATTTCTGGCCAGCACTTCAAGTCTTGCTCACCCCAGCGCCATGATGTGAAAGGTTAGTTGGTAAAATCTAAAGAGGTATACTATGAGTAAGGAAAGAGGTCAAGGTACACCACTCCCAACCCCAGAGCCTTCTTTTCTGCAACACACAGCATAAATTTTACTGGAAAACCCCCAGGCCAGGGCGTTCCCCATAGTACATGAAAATGCTCTTTAGGAAAAAGTCAGTCTGGGGTGAGTTACCAGTTGAAATGCTACGATGAGTTGGTGGTGTGGGCTAAACATAGGCCTGATTTGCACACCATCACCAGACATAGTTCTGAGATGCAACTAGCATGCCTATGTTAAGGTCCATTAAAATTAAGCAACAGAACAGAGGAGAAATAAAATTAAATAATCCAATGGCTGTTCCTCCTGCTTTGATGATAACTATATATAAAATACATGCACAGAGAGAAAGCGGCAAGAGCTTACACAGGGCAATGTGATTGTGTACAGCCCCGCTGCGTACCCAGTTAATCATGGGGACAACTGCACAGATAGACTAGGGGCAGGAAAAGCTGGACAGCCACAGGGTAGATAGGTGACGGCAAGAGCTGAGGAAAACAGATGTGCAGCAGCCAGCAGTGCAAACCTGCAGAAAGCTACACACACTGCAGTGCTCTGTACATACGTTGCAGCCTGACGAGTCAGCTGGGTACATGGCGTTCGATGCATCACTGACGTTGCAGAGCTGCTCTTAGGGAATTGTTGCATTGTGGAGCATCAGTGGGAGCAGGGATCACCGTGTGCTGGCACAGACAGTGTCACTACTCTGGCAGGCTGGGAACACACGTCTGGGATTAAACGTGCGTGATCATTTAGTTAATGAACACACTGTGGGATGAGGCACCGGAGAAGAAACCATCTCCTCTCTCTTCTCTATAGGAAGTGGGGAGGGGAGGACAAGTAATGCTCTGACATTTGCCATTAAGCCAACAGTGAACTGGGAAAAGAAAACTCCCTACACTGGACTTGGGGGTGGGAGGAAGACAGTTCACTTGTAGCCAACAGAGCCCAGCTTGACTGCCAGCTGAGCCAGGCATATCAGAGCCGGAAGAGAAAGGTCCCATGGCATGCAGGTGAGCTAAACTTTCTCCAGCTCTTTGTGCATCGTGTGGTCTGTGAGCAATGTACCTGCATTCAAAATAGTGTGTAAGTCTGTGTGTGTATGTGCATCACTTAGCACCTCTGCTGGAAGAGTGCTAGAAGGAGGAGAGAAAACATCACGCAGCAGCCGGTTGTGAGCTGGGACCAGGAGAGACGGGAGGAACAAGAAAAGCCCCTGCAGGTAATAGCGATTACCACTGCTCATGCAGTGGTCGTTAGTGGGAAGGGATAGCAGTGCTGGCAGAAGGAGGGCTGATTTGGGAAAGTTTGCAGGGGAACAAAAGGTTCACTGGGAAATGAAGTGTGAAATAGTGCAACCTGACTGCTAGGCAGCAGTAGGGAAGGAGTAGGAAGGCAGGGGATGAAGAGGAACAAGGGACTGTGGGATTACTATTGGAGAACCATTGACCAGCCTGTTTTCACAGAGTCCAAAACTGCTTCAGGACAAAAGTATTACAGATAGTAAAATATACCAATAAACCAATAAAGAGTTTACATGCTGGCCTGCGATTCTCAAATTTACACAGAAAGCTGTAAAAGCTCCAGTCTCAAGTTAGCCACGGGTCAATGTGACCCTCTTCCTACATCAGGGCTGTTCCCAGTGCTTTGCCTGCAGTGTGAGAACAGATATCAGCTAAAACGAGGGAAAATATCAGAAGACACTCCTGGACAGATTTTTGATATATGACGTAACAGGGCATACCCCAGAAAGACAAAATATCTTGTCGTGGGGAGGAAATTCTCCATTTCTCCCCTATAGGGAAATCAAGGCAAAGCTAAGCATCTGGTAAAAGATTTGCCAAAAGCTGGGAAACTGAAGAACAGCTGAGATTTTATGGTTCCAAACCTGGCCAGGAGAAGGGAAGTTGAGTACTGCCAACCCTGGCACACATACCAGAGAGGGGAAAGGGCCCTGCTGGATGTCATCGAGCCACACAGTCAAAATGTAGAGCGAGGGGAGAGGGAAATCTTTCACTCAGTTTGCAATCTCCAGGTGGATGGCTGGGCTGCACCAGACACCTCCCCGCAACACACAGGACAGAGAAAAGCAGCTCAGCCTCAAGAGGAAGCAGAGAGATTCCCACTGACCCCAGGGACTGCTGGGGTCAGTGGGAAAAAAGAAACACAGTGCTTAAGCTGCATTGCCAAATGTTCTGGAAGGACAAGAGCAAAAGCCAGCCCCCTGCATCCATTGGAAATGATTAACAAAGTCTAAAAGAATATGCCAATTTTCTCTAATAACTAAATTTTCCTGGACAAACAGAGCCACAGCACTCCTATTTGTACATAGGGGCCTAGCCACATACTGACAAAATCAGCCTCACCTTCCAGCCACACCCAGGGTGTTAAACTATAATGACCCACCATGTGAAAGCCTCTTAGCTTGGCTGATGGCAGGAAAAGCTAGAAATCCTGAACTGAAAAGATGTCACAAGCCAGATCCTGCTATAGGATCCCATACTACACAACACTGTACAAGTATCTTTAAGTTAAAGTGTCCTTAAAAGCAGCACCCCTGTTGCTCAGATTGGGAGGCCCCTCCACAGAGTTTAGCACCACTTGCTGTTCCCAGCCAGACACCCCAGCCAGTACTTATCCTTTTGTTTTCATGTCAACACCACACTTCAGCTTAATTTTTTTTTTTAAACGCCCTCAGCTACAGACTGCAATCAGATGTCCTGCATGACATGCTGACTAGTTCTTCCCTTTTCCCTGCAGGAAACACTTGCTAGAAAATTACCCCACTCAGGATAAAGGAAGGTGTTTCTACCAGCCTTTAAAAACACAGTGATTACCTGGGTGGGGAAATTCATAAAGCATGAGAATAGAAGACCTTTCCCTAGCAGGAAGGAGAAGAAAATTAATTAAACTGTCAATTAGATCCAGAACTGAAAGTCTTAACAATTTGCAGGGCTTGCTGTAACCTGCAAAGGAAGCCCTTTTGGGAAGTCTAAGCCCAAAGAACTAACGGAAGCTGGCAAATATAAAGGTTTATTATTTTATCTAGATCTGTGTCTTGCACTGCCTACTAAAGGGTCACTCGTTTCATACCCCTGTGCACTCTATACTCAGCACTTGCTGTAATGCCAGCCCCAAGTCCCTGAAGAGCTAGGTTATTAGACTGGATGCAAGCAGGGAAATTGAATGCTTTCAATCACTGGAAATGGGTGGAAAGAAGGGTCAAGCTATATGGGTGGGGAGGACAGAGGAAAAAATCATCTGGACAGTGAAACTCTAGCTCCACAGGAGGTGAGCAGAAATGGAGCCTGTGTCCATGCAAGCCAAGCCCAGGAAGAAGCCAGAGCTGCAGGAGGCCAAAGGAAATGCGAAGAATAAAATACTCTCCAATAGGAAAGGGTCCAGCCCTCGTATTCAGTACCTAGGAGGAAACCCTTCAAATCTGTGACCATAAGCATCCATAGCATCCCCTAGAAAGGATGACCCCATCATCCTCAGCTGTCCACAGGTACCTGTTGCTGCAAGCCCAAGAGCAGAACCTGTCTCATTAACTTTCTAAGTTACCAGTGGGCCAGAATAGGTGCAGGCTTGCTTTTTTCTTTTTTTTTTAGAGGAGAAAATCCTAGAGAGAACAAATTCTTGAACATCGTCAGGGATACCCAGGGGGATTTCAACTCTCAGATATAAGACAAGGGTCTTGGGGAAATATATGTGCCATTGTGGGCTATTCCTCTGTAGGTCTCAGCTCCCCTAAGTTTTTCAAGGTTACATGGCAAGAACAGAAACACCCATGCAGTCCAATTTTCACCATGTGAGCTGACATCCAGTCTTTGAAGAACAGAGCTGTGACTAACATGGAGTTTTAGGCCAAAAAGCAAATGGGCAAGGACTGAAAGGAGGAAGATGGTAAAAAGTCCCAAGAGAGATGCATGCCACTGTCTTTCCTGGGACAAAGAGCTTGTTGAGGGCAAGAGATGTAGTTCTACTCATGGAGAGAAGGAAACATCTCATTTGAATCATCAAGACAAAGTGATCCCATAAAAATAGAATTCCTGAAAAGGAATCACCCAAGCAACACTCACATAAGTTCCTTTCCGCAGAAAGACCTTGAAACACATGTTTATTTACCCTTTTTTAATCCCAGAATCTTTTCTTTTTCCCAAGGGGGATTTTGGACCATGGGGATACAAAACTGGCTAAGTACACATTGCAGTTAGAGTCCAAGTGCAAGATGAAATCCAAACCAAGTCTCTAACCTAAGTGCCGACCTGGAAGCCATATTTGCTCCTTTAACAGCTATGTCTTTCCCCAAAGTTTTGCACTCAAAATGGCCATAAAGTGCATGGATGGCTTCTAGGACAGAGGCAGAGAGCAGGATCATGAGGCACAGTTATACAAGTATGACCATCCTGTAGAACGTCCCAAGTCATGAGCTCGTCTTGACTCAATCACTTCCCCATGCTGCCACCAGCGCTCTCTCCTTTCCATCTGGATATGGTAAAAAGGTCACAGAATCACAGAAAGGCTGATATTGGAAGTGACCTTGGAAGGACATCTGGTTCACCCTACCTGCTCAAGCAGGGTCACCTAGAGCTCGCTGCCCAGGTCATCTTTATGCTCCTAAGCAGCAGCAGTAGGGTAAGGTGAAAGTGCCAAAGCACCATGTGCCTGTACTTGCTACCCAACACCTTCACCTCAAGACACTTAACCAGGAATGCTAAACCCATCTTTTCCAAATCCCGTTTCAAGGCAAATTATCTGCACAGGTGGGAGATGAAGCAGCTTATTACACCGTCTTCCCCTTTCCCTCAGAAATAACATTTTCAGGCTGTGCCCGCATGTACCATTCCACCCAGGCCCCATCGTACACAGCAACATCTGGTTTGCCACAGAGGTATGCCCCCAGAGCCACGTGGCAGGCAGTGACCCCAGAACCACATGTGGCTACCACCGGCTTTAAGAGGTCCACCTTCTTCTCCTGGAACAGACTGCGGATCTGCTCAGGGGTCTTCTCTAAACCAGACTCTGTGAGGAAATCAGTGAAGGGGATGTTCATCGACCCAGGGACATGACCAGGCTCAATTCCTGGAGGAAAAGCAATACAGACAGGAATTAACCTCTACTGTCTGGGACAAATCCATTGCAAAACCCATTCTCTGTTTCACTGGGAGGAGTATTTATTGTTTACTGTGTTTTGTTAAAACAAATACATTTATTTTTGTTAAACTTTGCTTTACTAGATTACTGATTACTCAGGAAGGATGGCTCTAACCTTCAGGTTACCACATGGACACAATCCTGTCAAGTTCTGCTCTTCCTCCCTGTTCCCTCCACATCTTCCCTGCATCAGAGCAACCCACTCTGATGAGGCTCTGACTGAAGCACCTCCATAAGCGCTTCTGAGGGGAAGAGTAGCACCAGTACGTGAAGAGACCAATGAATATCTTTGAGGTGTATGAAAGCTACATTCCTCACCCCAGCCCCTCATAAGGAAAAAAATACACGGCTTCCCCACTCCTGAATTTTCAAAGAGCAGCACTTGCTAGTCAAAAGGAGAGGAGGACAGGTGGATACACTGCCTCAAGTCCCATCCCATAAAGGACAACTGTATTTCCCTTCATTACCTCTACAGAAGTCAAATTGATGGGCACCTTAAATGAAGCCCCTTTTTATTATGCCAATGTCTCAGGAGGCATATTACCATCTCGGGGCTCTGGCTCTACTCCCCGGAATCGTCCTGCAGCGCGCGCGTCCACTAGTTGGAAGCGGTGGGAATCCAAGTTATCTAAGACGTCCTCGTACGTTTTCACCAGGGACTTGTCCAAGGAGGCGTGGAACTCTGAGGGAGCTACCTGGCTTTTCCCAGAGCTCAGCACATTCCCCTCTCGCTGCCAGTTCTTCAGGCCACCATCCAGAAGGGAGACTGCTTCATGTCCGAAGGCCCGGAACATCCACCACACCCGGGGCGCTGAGAAGAGGCCTTGGTCGCTGCCATCATACACCACAACATGGGAATCATTCCCCACACCCAGCTTCCCCACATACTCAGCAAAGTCATCAGCCTTGGGCAGCATGTGATCATAAGGTGAAGTACGGTCGCTGCACTGGTCAATGTCGAAGAAAACTGCACCAGGGATATGGCGCTCCTCAAATTCCCGCTTCGGGTCACGCTTCATCTTCGGCAAATACCAGGACGCATCCACGATTCTCAAGGCCAGACCAGCTTGCTGGGACTTGATGGCTTCTGAAAGCCATTTTGCAGACACCAGAGCACGGTAGAGGAATTGTTGCGACATTGCTCCTGAGTCTTGGTCGAGATTACCTGATTCCTGGGGTCTGCCTAAATCCACCTGACTGCAAAAGGAATACAGTCACAAATTAGAGACCAGCCTTACAAAAAGCAACTGGATGAAGATGCATTTTGGGACCAAAGATCTGTCTGCACTGAGGTGCTGGCTAAGACTACAGTGAGGGGTTTGAAATGCTCCAGTTCTGAAAATAAAGAGTTTCACAGAGCTCAGCCCAAACCCTGCCCCGAGCGGGACAGCCATGGCACAGTCCTGCCCTGCCCCCAGCCCCCAGTAGCCCACCTGGTCCCTCTACCTCCAGCAACCACCAGCCAGCGCTGACAGCAGCAAGAGGGGAGCGGGGCAGCCCCAGGGACCCAGAGCAGAGGGGACCGAGCGCCCCGGGGTGAGGCACGGCCCCACGACAAGGGGGACTCTGCCCCACCGCTCTCACCATCCCGGAGCCCATCTCCAGACGAGGCCTTACCGGGGCCCTGGCACCCCTCACGCAGCCTGGACC